TTACACAGATAATTGCAAATCAAAATCTCTGTCCCATATTTTCGCTTGGCTGACTTCATGGCGACTGAAAAAATTACTTGGGTGGGCTTAAATTGGGATTGCCTAACTATGGGTCAGGTGGTGATCTTGGTTGCCAATATGACATTTTTCAGAGCATGGTTCTAGTGCCAGACAACTTTTGTTCCGAGTAGGGAAATTAGATCTAACAAAAATGATCCCAATATGGTTGAACAAAAGATTAAAACATCTCATGTCAAAGAGAGGCATATAAAGGCATATCCAAAAGGGGGGGGGAGGGGATGGGCAGTTAAGAAATCAATATATTCAATTAAAGAGAGAAATAAAAGAAAGAATAAGGAAAAGCAAGAAGAGATTATGAGGCTAAGGTCGCAAGGGATTCAAAGACTAACCCAAAAGGGTTCTTTCAGGTATACAGAAGTAAGATTAGGACAAGATGGCCACTAAGAGTAAACCTTGGTCAGATCACTGACAGTGATAAGGTTAGTGTGTGAAATTCTAAAATACCTACTTCCTCTCTCAGTTTTCACCCAGGAAAAATACTTGTGATATTCCTGAAATAATAGATTACATAGAACAGGATGATAATAAACTATGTACGATTGCGGTAACTAGTGACATGATCCTCAGACAAATCCCCAGGTCCTGATGAACTGTTGCAAGGGTGTTTAAAGGAAAGTAAAGAGGGGAATCTTAGCATACCTTTGGCTAATCTTTTTTAACATATCACTACAAACGTGGCAATAGTGCCTGATAAGTGGAAAATGGTAAATTGTAATACCCTTTTTACAAGCAGTGACAGGTCCTTCGCTCTTTGAAAACTAATAGACCAATAAGCCTTACCTCCATAGTGGGAAAATTTATGGAATCAATAAATTGCGAAGCAATTCGTAGCCATCTGACCAGGACACAGATTGATTAATTGATACTCACACGGTTTTACAAAGGGGCGTTCCTGTCTTACGAATTTACTAACTTTTTTCACTAAAGGTGTTTGAGGAGGTAGGTCAATGTAATGAATATGATATTGTGTATATGGAACTTCAGTAAGCTTTCGATGAGTTCACACCAGAGGCTATTGAGGAAACTTAGGGCACACGAAATAGGAGGAGAAATTTTTTTCCTGGGTAGAGCATGGCCCTGACCAAATATGGACAGAGAGAGTTTGCATAAAGGGGAGAAATCAGAATGGGGGCACGTCACAAACGGTTGTTCCTCAGGGTGGTCAGTGATTGGGCCTGTTGTTGTTCACAATTTGCATTAACGGACATAGATGAGGGAAAATAGCGACATAAGCAAATTTGCTGATGACACCATATTAGGCCGTCCAATTCATTCTAATTGAGGACATTAGAAGCACTCAGGATGATTTGAATAAGACTGACGCAATGGTAGGAGATAGTGGCAGAGGCAGTTTAATATTGACAAATGCAAAGTTCAAATGTTTGGACAGTTAAATAACCATGACACTATAAACTAAATAATGTAGTCTTTATTACTACGATTGCGAAAAGGATTTAGGAGTTTCTGGTTAGCAATAAACCTAAAACCAAGACAACAGTGCATTAGTGTTCGCAATAAAGCTAACAGAATTCTTGCTTCATAGCTAGAAGGTATAAATAATAGAGTCCTCAGGTTGTTCTTCAAACTCTATTTGTTATATCCTTGGTTAGGCTCATTTAGACTATGCAGCCTCAGTTCGGGGTCACCGTTTACAGAATGGAATAAATGCTCTGGAAAACATACAAAGGAGGATGACAAAGATGTCCCATGTATCAGAAATCTTCCCTATGAGGATAGACTGAAGGCCCTGAATCTGCCACTCTCTCGAAGGCGTTAGAATTAAGGGGGATTGATCGAGGTGTATAAATGGGAAATCTGGGAATTAAAATTTAAATTAAAGGGATGTAAATAGTGTGCCTGAAAATTTCCAGCCAAAGACAGGGACTCGTAGCAATGGTTTCAAGTTGGAAAAAATTTAGATTCAGGAAGGATATCGGAAAGATGGTTTGGTAATAGAGTTGTGGATGATTTGGAACACAAGCTCCCGGGTACAGTTATTGAGGCTAAAAACGTGTGTAGTTTTAAAAATAGGTTAGATAAATACATGGGGGGTGTGGTGTGGGTGTGTGTTGGACCTGACTAAGTTGTGCTTGCTGGGTCTGGTCAGTGCTCTATCCTTGACTGGGGATAATGGCCAGGACTGGGTGGTCATGGGATAATCCGGGGCGTTGGGTCATTGGTCATAATGGGGGGGGGAGACATGGACCTGCTCCACATGGGTCAGTAGGGCCTGTTCAGTGTTCCTTCTTTCTTATGTTTCTTATACTCTCCGGTCAGCAATTTCACCTGCCTTGAAGGGGGCAGTTAGTATACAGCAGTATTCCAGCCTAGAGAGAACAAGCAATTTGATAGCAACATTTATAAAAGAACCTAGGTAGTAAGTTGGTAAACAGCCGCCACCCAGGGAGGTAATACCTCTGCCAAGTGAGTTTGTAAACGAAAGCCTGTAATTGTTTTACACAAGGTAGATTGATGTGTGTCTTTTTATTCTGTCTCATACACATGCAAGATTTCAGGTACGTCTTGCTACTTCTACTTTACACTTGGTCACACTTCACTTAATTGTACAAGCATATATATACACACCCCTCTGGGTTTTCTTCTATTTTCTTTCTAGTTCTTGTTCTTGTTTATTTCCTCTTACCCTCCATGGGGAAGTGGAACTGAATTCTTCCTCGTACAGCCATGCGTGTTATAGAGGCAACTAAAATGCTGGAAGCAAGGGGGCTAGTAAACCCCTTTCTCCTGTATATATTACTAAATATAAAAGGGGAAACTTCATTTTTCCTTTTGGGCCACCCACCTCAGTGGGATACGGCGTGTGCTGTTGAAAGAAAGAAAGATGTTATAAAAGAATCTAGGTAGTATAAGTGGGTAGACAGCAACCACCCTGGGAGGTACTACCGTCTGCAAGTGGAGTTGTAAAACTGAAAAGCCTGTATTTGTTTACATGATGGTAGGAATTCCTCGGGGTCTTTTTTCTGTCTCATAAACATGCAAAGATTTCAGTATGTCTTGGCTACCTCTATTACACTTTAGGTACACTACGCATGCATGTACAAGCATATACAGTGGACCCCCGCCTTAAGATATTAATCCGTTCCGAGAGCTCATTGTAGCCAAAATTATCGTTAGCCAAATCAATTTTCCCATAAGAAAATAATGGAATCAAGGTTAATCCGTTCTTGACACCCAAAAGATATGAAAAAAAAAAATTTTACACATGAAATATTAGTTTTAATACCACACAAACTGACAGAAGACATGCACAATTTACTACAATACTAAGAATAGAATTACATGACACTTACCTTTATTGAAGATTCTGGTGATAATTGATGGGATGGAGGAGGGGAAGGAGCCGGAGAGTGTGGAAGTATTGTTTAGAAGGGGAATCCCCTTCCATTAGGTACTTGAGGTTAGCAAGTCCTTTTTCGGGGTTACTTCCCTTCTTCTTTAATGCCACTAGGACCAGCTTGAGAGTCATGGACCTCTGTCAACAAACAGATTGTCCATAGAGCTCTGTACCTCCCGTTTCCTTTAAGACTTTCCTAATGGGCCAATAACACTGTCATTGTACAGGTTGCCAAAACTGGCTTGCAGTAGCCTGTGTGGGGTTGATTTCATCTGTAAAGGTTGCAGTTTCAACCCATTGCACACATTTCCTAATCTCTCTTTTTTCAATTTCCATACTAATTCTTTGCCCTTTTTACCCCAGGATTGGCACTATAGAAGCTTTCTTGGGTCCATGGTGATTTATTTTGCAGTTACAGCATAAAAACACAGGGCATTAATGTGAAATGAACACGAATGTATGTGTAGATGTGACTGCACTGGCTGGCTTGTAAACACTGGCACTGAGGCCACACGTGGGATGTGTCCCAGGTGAATCACGTTTAAGGCGAGTTTTTTATAGTGAGTCGAGGCAAAAATTTTTGTGTTCAATGCTTCATATGGCAGATTTAATGTAACTCGATGTGTTCGTGAAGGCGGGGTCCATGTATTATACACACCATTCTGGGTTTCTTTCTATTTTCTTACTAGTTTCTTTTCTTGTTTATTTCCTCTTATCTCAATAAGGAAGTGGAACAGATTTCTTCCTCCATTAAGCATGCGTGTCATAAAAAGTGACTAATATGCCAGAGCAAGGGGTTAGTAACCTTTTCTGTATACAATTACTAAAGTTTAAAAAGAGAAATTTTTTTTTGGGTGGGGGAAGCCACCCCTGCCTTCAGTGGGGATTATGGCCAATTTGTTTGAAAGATTTATAAAAGAAACATTACAAATCACAGAAAAAAGGAAATAAAGAAGTGTAGGCAGTGTGTACAAAGACTAGGCCACAACTAGTGATTGGAGGCTCATGCCCTGACCCTCCTTATGCTGAATAACCCAACAAACAAGGGCCTTAGGACCCTCAATGGAAATAGTTATCCTAGGTAATCTACACATATGCTGGTTATGTAAGATAATTTTATATAACCACTTGATGTTGTGCTTATATGAATAAACTTGCTTACTTACTTATAAAATACATACAAACTATAAAGATTTAAAGAAATTAAAAATATTTAGTAATCAATTATATCTTTACGACTAGAAAAAAGTCTGTAACACAGACAAAATACTGTCAATAATATAGTTCCCTTTTTACTGCATTAGTGTGGCTTTATCAACATTTTAAATACACTCTACAGAATAGACTAGAAATCGCAATCTTTGCCAGTTTTTTAAGCAGAGTTCTACTTGTGTAGTTTTAATGTAGAAGATGAAGCAGTTCTCCGTTATAAGAGCAACTGCTCCCTAGAGTCAGTCTTCTCCAAAGACTTATCTGTCTTCAGTGATGCATCTTCCTCTGTTGTTTTGACATATCAGCATATTTTCATGTGTGTCTGACTGAAGAGATCATCCTGAGCTTTCACCTTCTGATAGTATCAATGTTGACATCTTCCATTGTGTCTGTCGGAGGTACCATTTTCACAATTTCACCCACTGGCACCTCTGTCGAGATTTCTCTTTTGTATTTCTCTTTTACTTCTGCTGAAGATTTAAAGGCTCCACAACATTCAGTCTTTTACTTCATTTTCTTCATCATTAGGTTCAGCCTTAGATATGCTGACCCTGTATAAATCATTACGTGAAAAATTATCACATACTGTACTACGTATTGCTAGGTGAAGTAGTTTCTTAATGTTTTTGTACCACTATCCCAGTACAGTCATACCCTGCTTTATATCAATTCGGCCTATGTCAAATTCGCCTTTACGCCACTTTTCTAGAATATATTTCAGTTCAGCAAACATCATTACATCTAACTTTGTCACTCAGCAATGTCACCTATGTCATAATTTTTTTAATTGTGTTTTTAGTGTTCTTTAAGGTTTAACAATAATTATATTCATTCACAAGTTATTTATGTTAGTTTTACGGTGTTTGTCATTTTAACCCTTAAACGGTCCAAACGTATATATACGTTCACGAGCGTAGCACCCCAAACATATATATACATTTTCATTGTCATTCATTCACATTGGACACGAAAAGCCTGAGTCACCCAGACATGAGAGAATGGATGTGCACACTCACTGTGCGCCATATTAAAATAATTGGGGATGCCTGGGCACATATCCTCTTTTTTCCTTTAAAAAAAAAAGATTTGTTTTTTCTCAAAAAGTTGGGGCACTACGCTGAGTGAACGTATATATAACGTTTGGACCGTTTAAGGGTTAAGGCACATTATGTCTAGCTTCGTCAAAACTGGGTTATATCACGGCTATTGGAACCAATTAATGACACTATTGGCAGTGGTATGACTGTAGGCCATCAACTATCACACCAATCTATTACACATTTTTGCATTAACATGGTTGAAAAAATTTATCATTAATGTAGAATAAATGTTTGAGAAAATGTGGATGCTACGAGTCTTTTCCCTCCATCTTTTGGGTGAGTCTTATAGGGGAGGCTGTTTAAGAACATAAGAAAGAGGGAGCAACTGCAACAAGCCTACTGGCCCCATGCTAGGCAGGTCCAAGCAATCTACTGGCCCAGCTAGTCAGTGTCCAAAGCACATCCACTTAAGAGGAAGCAGTACTGTATCAGACCTACTGGTTCAAGTAGTCAGATCCAACTCTAAAATCACCCACACCCACTCAGGTATTTGTCTAACCTATTTTTAAAATTACACATGCATATGCAATGTACACAATCTCCCTCTATCAGTTCTTATGATGCACAAGTCCAATACCATACCTGGCCTGTGATTAATTAATGCTTTATTTTTAATTTTCATCATCCAATTTGTCTCTGGATAGAGGAAGCATAAGTGCTGAAAGACTTTGTGTTTGAAGAAATCAAGATATTAGAATCAGATATTAGACATGCCCACCTTCTGCCCACACGATGGAGGATGGGATGGCTGTGGACCGATACTTTCACCCAACATCAAGCCCCAACTTTACCCATTCTCCACGTTGCCCTTTTCCATACTCTCCCCTCCCAATTCTCTCCCCACCAGCTTTCATGGGACTTTACTCCTCCACATTAAACACCCAACCTCTCTCCCAAAACACTGCTTCTCACCTGCATATCCTCACTCACATGCCTTTACCCATCCCAACACCAGTGGCCATCTGACCATTCACTTGTGCCACATAGGACGAACAACTGATGATGGGAACATGGAATGACAGTCACAGCATGCATCCACCTGCATCTACTACACTACATATTCCCTACCACAGTAAATGTGTCCCTTTTTCTTAGGGGAAGAGAGAGATGGGTGCCACCCTACTTTGGTGAATGATGAATAGCTAATACGGTAAAAAAAAAATACATACAGTACCATATTCTATATACATATTTCACTACAGAAAAAAAAAGCAATGTAGATTTGGCAAAGCTTTCCAAGTACCTAAGCATTTGTGATAGTAACCAAACAGATACTGAGGAGCTGCTCAAGACAAAAAACACTGCAATGAGTAAGAAGGTGAATAAAAAGCTCGAAGTTCAACAGAGGTGTAGGAAGGTGTATACAAAGCCCCAAGTCCAATAGAGGTGAAGGAAGAAGCATACAAAGCCCCAAGTTTAACAGAGGTGTCACACAAGGAGCAGAGGTGTCACACAAGGAACAGAGGTGTCACACAATGAACAGAGGTGTCATACAAGGAACAGAGGTGTCACACATGAGGCAAACTCACAAACCATCGCAACAGTCACTTGGCTGTCTTTCAAGAGGGAGCTGGAATAAGGACACCTAAAGTCAGAACTGACCAGGACGGGTTGTGGTTCGTACATCTATTTACATTTGGCCAGCATGTAACGCTTGGTTGATCAGGCTCTGATCCACTGCGAGGCCTGGTCATGGACTGGGCCATGGGAGGCATTGTCCCCAAAACACCCCTTAAAGGTATACTCCAGGCTCACAGACATGTATTATTATTATTTCATAAAACTAGTATCACTCAATCTTTTACAACTGTTCAATTGAAATTTTTTAATGAATGAACTTGTATGATAACATGTAAACTTTTTAAACTACATCTAATTTTTTTTTTTTTTACTTCATGTCAATACCTTGTACAGTGGGACCCCCGGTATTTGATGCATCGGTATTCGATAATATCCGGTTTTCGATGCATTTTAATGCAAAAATTTTTCATCAGTTTTCGATTGAAAAACCCGGTATTCGATACGTTTCGTACGAGAACTTCACGTGTGGCCTGAACTGCCGTGTGTGCTAGTGTTTACAAGCCAGCAGTTTTTGTGCGAGAATCTAAGGATACATCGGTACATTCCATATTATCCATAATATCACTATGTTTGGTGCTGTTTCTGCAAAATAAGTCACCATGGGCCCCAGAAAGCTTCTGGTGCCAACCATTCGAAACAAAAAGTCGCTAATGGACTTATGAAATGAAGAAAGAGATAATTCAAAGTACGAAAGTGGGAGTGCGGGGTGGGTTGTCGGAGCTGGTCAGGGTTGTAATAATAAACCCCAAAACAACCATCTCTACTATAGTGACCAGGAAAAACCCGGCAATTACAGGAAAAAAAGGGCTGTTCTTGCAAAAGGCGCCAACTGTGATTAAGAAACAGCGACCGCAAGTGTTTAGGAAATTGTTGAGAGATTGTTACTGGTATGTATAAATGAAAAAAACAGATAGCGGAGATAGCATCTCTCAGCGATCATTTGTGAAATGGCTAGGCAAGTTGCATGGACGATTTGGTAAGAAATTGCTGAACTAGTGGTGATGTGAGGTGAATTTAAGGCCCAAGCATAGGTTGTGGTTTTTTGAAAGATTTAACCCTTTCAGGGTCCGTCCCCGTAGATCACGGCTGGTCAGTGGGTGTCCAAAAACCGTAGATCTCACGGCCAAAATTATAGCGCTGTCTAATTTAGCGCGAATAGCGTCATTAGGGCCTACATATGAGAGAATGGTGTCAGCGCCAGTGGGTGTGCGCCATAAAAAAACAAAAAAATCTAGGCGCCTGCATAGCATTGTAGGGAACGCCGGCTCCAGTCACCTTGTTCACCATTGCCTAGGTCGCAAGTCAGCTCTCACTCCGGGGGAAAATTGGGACTTCCTCTTCCTGTCTGATAGTTATGACACTGTGGAAGTGGAAAATGAGGACGAATTCTACCCGCCGCCCCGCTTCTTGATAAGTTAGTGACCGAAAAATAATGACCAGGATATCGATTAATAGTGCGAAAACCCCGACGATCCTCGACCTTCTACCTCTGGTGTGGGCACTCGGTGACTCACCGTTCGGGTGTTCTAAACGTAAGAGAAAACTAAATTTTCCTGTGGCCTGGCCCTCTGACTTCGTAATGACGATGATTCTTTGACGTGGTTGGTGAATTTTTATTGCGCTCAGACGATCATTCGAAGTAGTGATAGTAGTGATAGTGAGGAAACATATTCACAGTGAAGCGTCGGTTATTGTTCGCCGCCGCAATGCGCTCGGGTAGTGTACCTATGCTGTGCCCTGGGGTCGGAGTAACACCCGGAGTACATCCCGGAGTACATCCCATGGCCTACACCCAGTTTTAGGTATGATAGTAGTGGGATGATGTGGCTACACCTTGGCATGGATGGGCCACAGACAATCAGTGGATGGTGTAGTGGGGCTGGTGGTGGTAGTGGCACCGCCATGCGTGGACTCGCTGTGCACGCGGGAACCCACGCTGCTGACTCGTCAGTTCCAAGGACAAGCGGAGCGTCACCCACAGCCCGTACAACCACCGTACAAACCAGCCTATGATGTCCAGTATCCACAGCAAACGTATCTGGGATTGGCAGCAATATCCCAATTTTGTTCCCAGCCCTCACCACTTTGAAGAACTGCAAAGTGGAATTCTACCTACCTGTCCCCTTGAAACCACGGCCAATTGAACTGGAATTCTTTTGAATTATTCTTTGACCAGCCATTGATGGAAATTATTGTCCCGGGAAAGTAAATAAGTATTTTCAGTACACCATGGCAAAATACGATCTTATCACGTTCCACAGACTTAAGTGCCACTCGCCCTTTTCCCCTCATCCAATTCTATGATTCACCTCCTCCTTCATAGCCCATCGCTGACACGTCCACTCCCCAAATATCTGAATAATTCACTTTCCTCATACTCTCCTCCCTCAATCTGATATCAATCTTCATACCTAATATTTTTGTTATCCTCATAACCTTACTCTTTCCTGTATTCACTTTTTAATTTTCTTCTAATACATATTCTTAGGAAATAAAGTTATCTTATCTCAAGTAATGAAAATAGGAGAGTGAGAAAGATCAGACATAATTTACAAGGTGAGAAGAGAGAAGCGACAGACAGTTAGGACATAGAGAAAGATTTCTAGCAAGAAGAACTGAAGTATCATAAATCACATAACTTCAGCACAAATGCAGACTTGCTAACTTAAGAACTGCTTTCCAGAAACCTGAAAAATGATTCATTTAGGCAATTAAACACAAATGTTAGAAAGTGGCAATATTGTGAATGAACAATATGTGAATAAACTGCACCAGGACAATGAACTTATGATGACATTTCAGTCCGACTTGAGCACTGGACCATTGCCTAGTTAACCCTTTGAGGGTTTTCGTCGTACTAGACACGTCTTACGCGTAGGGGTTTTTGACGTACTATACGATACAATCTAGCGGCCTCTAATTCTCGCGCGAAAAGGCTGATAGGCTAGGTGTGAGAGAATGGGTCTGCGTGGTCAGTGTGTGCGGTAGAATGAAAATCTGGTAACCAGTGGTGCCATTGTGGGAATGCCTCTTAGTAAACAATGTCACACCA